CTTATTCCCTGAATGACTTAGAAAAGCACATTCAATTTGAAATAATAGAACAGACACATGTACGCACCAATAATACAAAGAAATATTTTGTGTGATACAACAAATATTTTAAGTTTTATACAATGAAATATGATTCAGTGTTATGTCAGCAAGTAATATCAAACAAAAATATTGAAAGACAAAAGTTATCCATAATGTCATTTTTTACCAATATGTATGTATATTCACTGTAAATAGCTTACAGTATAATGTAAACTTGCAAGAAGTCAGGAAAAATTGTAGCAGTAAATGTTTCCTGGAATCCTTAAAAGGTGGTGGTCCCAATACAGCATCTACTCGTACTCAAATTTAGTATAACTAATACCTATTTTATTTGTTGTACATGTCGCATGGAACCTTTATCGGATGTGATACTTTAAGACTGGGAGTCATAACATCTTCTCCTCAACAATACTGTCTAATTTTTGGGAAACAATTCTACGTATCGGTAGTAACGAGAACTCAATAATTAACAATATCGCATCTGACCTTTAAGTGTTTTCGCATATTGTGTGAAAGAAGCGGACCGAATATCTGCCACTTAAAACAACCGATTTGATTTGTAACTTGAATTTATTCTTTTTATAGCTTAATGTCAAACTATGAAAGGGAAATATTGCGTGGAGAGATAACCTTATCAAATGAACCAACATCATATGTGTATAGCACATTATTAAACTTTATTAAACATTATTAAAATTTGTTTTGACATTGCTAAGACATTATGACTTTTGTTTAGTCTGTACTCGCGTTTGATTTCACATTTAACGCTGAATCTTGCAGTAAACTGAATGGTTTATTATATGCACGCACTTACATTGAAATGACATGTGTAACAAACTCTACTGTTAAAATAAGTCATATTGCAATGATCCAGCATGGAACAAATGTAATGATCGGTTTACGCACAATACTATTTGAGGTGTGATTACAATAAAACAAATACGTCATATCAATAAATTAAATTATAAATAAATTAAATTAAACACAAAAGGTGTTATTACTTTAAACCGCTTCAATGTCACGAGAGATAATATTTTGAGTTTTAGTAAGAGGTCAAATTTCTCACGGGTGCTAAAACATTAAGTCAAAGCAGCACAGGGTTCTTCCCAAATTTGAGATAAACAATGGAGCTCATTTAGCTTAATGAATAATAGAATAGAGAAAAAGATGATTTAGCATATTCCATTGTTAGGCAAATTAGTAGACTAGCTTGCAGTCTGTTGCGATTCTGATGAGGTGAATACGTTATACGGTGCTGGAGCAGCCGAGCCACGGATCATAACAATAAACCAGACATCGCACGTGCCTGTGTTTACTTGTCTTGCGCTATGTTACCATGTTTTTGATGCCAACAAAATTGAGTAAAACAACCATCGTTTCTCGTTTATCCAGTTTATCCAAGAAAGTGTCATGTGTTTCGGGGTCTCAGTTGATATGTTACTTAGCCTGTCTTCTGATTGGTTGAAACATATTAGACATGTCAATCATTACAAGCCCAAATCTGGCCGGTAATGCGGTAATGTGAGGGCGCTTTCACTGATGGCAAGTCTGTTGGGATTTCATTTACACAATTTATATTTATTTTTCAAGAATTTTTCATCGGAATCGCAACAGACTGTAAGCAAGTCTAGCAAATTACCTGCAACGCAATACTACTTTCTTTGGGAGAAGGCAGTATTCACAAAATGTCCTTACAATCATCTTCAAATTATGCTAATGTTAACGGTTTACAGTATCACATATTGAATGATGAATATGAAATTTCATTTCTGAAAGTGACTGGTATTCGTTGATTCACTCATTAATTAATTGCTACATGTATATAAATGTACCGGTATTCAACTGTGACAACTTTCTTATTCTCAGCCAATCAAAATAAAGAATATAATTATTCAGGCACATTTGCATGTCATTAGCATAATATGCTAAGTATATGTTAATCATATACTGTAAAGGCATCAACTATTCATTGGTTTTAAATTTTTGTGTGCTGATAAGTAAAATAATGCTATTTAAAATAACAATAGAATATATCGAAACAGTGAAATTAAATG